TGCTCCCTTGTCGCATCATGGGAAACACATCCCAAACCCAAGCAGCATTTATTGAAACGACTGCATATACTATATATGCGAAGCGGAAGCGCGAAATCTTTTTCACGGTTTGGCATTGGGGCTACATGTTGTAAAAGGACACTTCTCGTTTTGTGCTCATGTGCTTGAGTGATCTTGAGTGGACGTTTCCTTCATGCGTCTATATAATGTAATCTTGATACCGCCCCTCCACTCAGGCATCTCGAACACATTGGAAAACGCTCTGCCCGCGCAAAGTGTGGGCAGTTCTCGCTCCTTTTGGGACACCCTGTAATGGGTGGTCTGCTTGAGCAGCTGGTGGCCATAGAACTCTGAGCCTGAGTTCCTCAAGGGACTGATCTCGCTGACTGCGAATTTCCCTGACCTCCTTCTCCACTTCCTCGATGTAGAGGGCGCTCTTGTTGAGCGCGTTCTCGATTTCTATTGCGTCTTTCTCATAGCGTTCCAAGGCTGCGAGGTCCAGCAACAATGGGCCTGTATGCCCACGCTGTTTCTCTCCAGCCTCTCCATCATGTTTTCCTTCCTGAGCATGGCCTTCATGACCTCCTTTAAGTAGTGCCAGCCAGCGCCCAACAACCCCTCAATGATGTAGCGAAGCAACCATCTTGTTCTGATATTGCCATCTTCAGCAAACTGCACCTGTGACACTTGGGTGTGCAAAGCAAGCGCCCGCGCCCTCATCACAGATTGCATCTCCCTCAACAGCCGTTGCCAGGCCTCGAATCCATTGCGCCAGCTTGTAAGGCCGGTTCCTCAAGTAGGAAATCAGTAGGCTGTAGAGGTGAATGGATGCTGCTTTGGTCTCATCCGTCATCTCGTCCAACTCGTCAGTGCCGATCGGGTTGCCCTCCACAAGCTTCATTCTATGGGCCATACCAGGACCAATGCCCTGACTTGACATAGTTCTCGACATGAGAACTTCCAGTCGCTCCACTCATTGTCTCTTGTGTCCGGTTTGAAGATGTCGGAGTCTTCAAGTGTCTTGCTCAAGAGTTTGAGGTTTGTGTCATACTCAACTTCTCGAGGGCCTGTGAAATCTGCTTCAGGCTCTCCTCTGCCATTGCGTGGATGTAGGCCACACTGGGATAATACGTCCTTGTGGTCACGTTGGGCTCGTTCTCCTGCTCCTCCTTGATCTCCGGTCAGCATCTTCTTGAAGTCCCAATTGGCGATGAGCTTGCGCACGGCAAGCTGCTGTGTCTCGTAGTCTTTCGACCTTCTTCAATAACTTGCACTTAGCTGGGACTATCGCAACCAGCTGTTTGTGCTCCCTGGATCCTTTTCCTTTCTTTCACCAGTGATGCCCTCACTGCTGTGCCACTCCGTGCCCACCGAAGCTTCCCCACGCACCCCTCTGTGTCGACCTCGATGCTCTGGATGTAGCAGACTTTCCACCTGTTGTGGATGTAGCGGACCCTTCCACCGGCTGTGCTGGGCAACAACTCGAGGCGGTTGGTAGTAGCAGGCCTCCTGGATCAAAGCGTCTCCGGTCTTTCAGTGATGCAACTCAGCAACAAAAGCTGAACGAGCCAAAATCAGATGGATTGTGCCCCTTTCGAGGTCCGCGGCCTACAGCGCCGGGTCGTGAAGCAAATGGCGTGGGTAGCGGAGTGGGCACTTACGGCCACAGCTCCGCTACCATGCCAAGCGCGAAATCCTTTTCACAGCTTGGGCCCAGGTGTTGTAAAAGTACACTTCTCGATTTGTGCTCATGTGCTTGAGTGGATGTTTCCCTCATGTGTCTCATGTAATCCGGATTATGTATACATGATATTGTACAAATTCAAACAAAAAGGCACCCAGCCACTCACCTGAATCAAGAAGCATCCAAATGAGATCGCTCACCGGCACTTCTTCAGCACCAAAAGCCTTCCGAAGCTCGGACACTTCTGCCTCCTCACGAGAACAAAACAAAAGGACATACCATCGTGAACAAACACCCCAAAACAACTCAAATGGAACTGTCCCTTCAACTCGTTTGAGACTTCTGCAAACGCAATAACCTTTCAGCAAAGGGCTTGCGTGCGCTTGCCTTGAAAGAAGCACTGCGACGCTTCCAAACAGGAGTCACCTTTCGTGCCTTGAAACTGCAAAGCGGTCGAGCGCAATCTCAACAATAGCTAGAAGCTGGGTGCCATTCTGCTTCGGAGTCAAAGCTCCACATGTCGCACTGAAACTAGTTTTGGACGCGCTACTAGTAACAAGTGCATTACTACTAGAAACAACACACATCTTTGACTTGAGATGCATTTTGAAATTGGGCCCACCTCCTCAGCCAGGATCACCCAGGTATCCCATGAAATCCCTGGCTGCTTTCCGCTGCCCCTTCGTACGCCCGCGTGGCTGAAATTCACTGAAGCTGTCTTGATGCCGTGCTTCAGTGTGATTACCTCAAAGTGCAAGAGCTCTTGGAACTCGAGGACTAAAAAAGGAGATGTCCCAGGATGTCCCATGAGAACTCACAGCCTGATTAAGCCTCCGACCTCCAAAAGATGGTTCTCTGTAAAAATATCGCATTCTGCCAAGGCAGCAAAAATCCGACCTTGCAATTGTCAAACATACACATGAATCAGCCCGGGGTTTAAAAGCGCTCCTTGCACATTGGTCGTTGCACATGTTGTTGACTCATTGTTGCTCTTCTCACCAAGAATCTTCTTGTGATAGCATCACCAAGGTGAAGTCTGCAATATGCTGATGTGTAGGAAACAAGATTTCTCTCCTGCACAGCTTCTGCACAGCTTAGAGACGCGATTCCCTTAACTCCGGCAGGATGTGTGCTGCGAATCGAAACTCGCGATAAAGCTTGAAGACAGACCCATCTCTCTCTTTTGTTGCGAGACACTTCGTCGCATGCGTCTTGGGTCTGGAGTGAAGCACACAGAACCAAAGGCCCGGCCACTTGCCCGGACACTTGTCTCCTTCTGCAGTCTCATGAGACGCAAGAATTCGGTCTCGTCCAAAACACCGTTGTCATTGAAGTCCACCTGTCCTCGTTGCGCATTTATAACTTGCGTGCGAGCCTTTATTGAAAGAATTTGAGAACGTGACAAAGAGCTTCAAAAGTCGAGGCTTGAAGGTCCGAAGGCCCTCAAAACAAACACCGAGAAAGGCTAATAGAGCGTATGAACTATCAACTCGTTCCCATTGAAGTGCTGTCTCCTTTTGACTCCAAGGTGCTCAACATCTGATGAGCTTCTTCAAGCGCTCCACCAAGTCCTAACCTCGCACTTTCAAAGGGTAAAACCACATGGACGATATGAAGAAAGCACGGACGTGGCAAAGCATGTCCGCGAATGGTTGCGCGCTGGAACGCTGGCAGCCACCGTGGCAACTGGCTGCCCTGGTTACATTAGTCACTGGTCGCTCTAACCCCTCTAGTCTGCCATCATCGGTGTGTATGCTGGCTCGGTGTTATCGGCGCAACTGGTGTAGAAAACAGCTTTCTGCGCTGGTTTATGCTAGTCGTGCCGACCCCTGTGTGCATGCTGTTCGGTGTAAGCAGTGTTGTCGGTGAAACCGGTGCGACTGGTGTAACCGGTGTAATCGGTGAACAGATGTCGCCAGTGTAACTAACCGATGCCAGGAAAATTGCGGACACTTACTGTGCTAGCAATTCTAGTTGTTATCCTTTGATGGATCGAAGTGTTCTATTTGACAGCAGGCGTGTGTTACATTTCGGTGTGATTGCAAAAATTTAGCCACGGCCACTCTCGGTTTTTTGCCAGGGAGCCAATTAAGCAACTCCAAGATTTTAAGCACTGCCAGCTCAGCCTCTCCCTGCGAAAACTTCAAGAAGCTCTGTACTAGCTCGGCCTGTCGGTCTCCGATGCAGGTAAAAGTAAATCTACAATCTACATGAAAAAGCAAACCCAAAACTTCAATCTTGCCATCGGTGCCTTGTCAAATCGGAAAAGGGCCATGGAAAAAACTGACCATGCCTCTTGCCTGCGCCTGCCTGTGCCTGCTGATTCAAATCGTTTTCAATTTAGAAGGCTAAAATTAAAAACTGTGTTTCTCTTGTGTCATTCTCATTCTCAGTTAATATATACATATCATATATAAATATATATATATATATACATACACATGTTTTTGTTTTTATACAGTAATTGTGTTTTCAATTCTATTCAATTTGTTCTTTGATTTGTGTCAATGTCAAGTCCTGTTAAGTCCTTCTCTTTAGTCCTTGCCTGTTCAGCCTTTCTGAAACCATGACAACTTCGCACATGCTCAGCGAAGTCCCACGCACAGTCCAAAGACAATGGTCCATCAAGGCCAATGCCTTCCAGGGTAGTGACGCAGTTTTTAGCAAGGACACACACACGGTTTAGTCACGGTTTAACCTGCTTTTCCCAAGCCTTTTCAGACATCCTTTCGATATTTTTTTGCATTCTTTTGTCATGTGTGATCGATTCCATTCACATCATTCATGCTGCGCCTTTTTCTTGGCATATCTCTACCACTTCGACCTTTTGCAAGGTGAAGCCAAGTGGGCGACATAGGGATCTGAGCTCCTCCGAAGCCAATGAAAGCGCAGCTCTTTTGTGGCATTTCTTCCGGATATACAAGGGTCAATCTCAGTCAACCCGAAGAGAAGACAGAGTGTCCCGGGCAAGACTTTAAGCGTCAGCTCGAAAGGAATGTCAAACATTCCGGATTACCCTGGCCTCAATAAAGTTCTCACCCTCTCCGCAGATTGTCTCAACGTACTCAGCCACCTGCTGTAGCTGCGTTTCGCGCACTCGCCGTGCACAGACCAAGAATTCGTAGAAGGAAACACCGGCAGCGCTGGCCTGAAGATTTTTGGGCGACATGGTGTGTCAAAAGTCCAAGTAGGAACTCTCTCCTTCCTCCAAAAGAATCTCCTTGAATTACTGATGAAAACACATGGCCCACATTGGATAGTTCACAATGCGCTTCATTGCCCACCAGGCCTTTTGATAGTGCTTCATTGCCCGCCAGGCTTCAACAAAGTAAATGCCACCAAATCGCCTGAGGCGGTCATGCCTAACTGGAGAGAACCCAGAAGGCCGTGACTGAAGTGCTTTTACCGCCAGGACACAAAAGGCCGAAGCTGAGACTCTTGGGATCGATCAAACGGCCTTCAGGCCCGACAGCATGAGGCCTCGTTTTGACCACGAAAGTTTTGCCTGAAAACCTCTCACAATCCACTTGTTGCATGAGTCCGCAACATGTCAGCAAGCAAAGAATGTAAAGTTGCGCTTGTTTGGTTCACGTTGATTCACGAAAGGTGCGTCGGGTTCTGAGTCGATACAAGAGGTCAGTTCCAATACCCTGACTGGAATGGACAAGTGCTCACTTTGAACTTCGAGGCACTTCTCCTCACAACTCTTGAACGCTGCTCGCAAAGAAGAAACTTCCTGGACTTCTCGCACTTTGCGAAAGCCAGAGTTTGGGGCAGGCTTGACAGGTTGCAAACTGCAAGGATGGATGGTGCGTGAAGGCCCCATTAAATCAGGCACAATGAAAAATGTAACTGACCATGTTCCTTCAGACATGTTCCTTGACACGTTGACCGTTCTCCCACATGGAAAGCAGTCTGAACAAGCCTGAACATTGTTGACATTTATATAACAGGTATTGTCCTGCTTGCTGAAGCCCTCACAAGCTTGGTAGGCGGCCAGAAAACGGAGCATTTCTTGAGGGGAATTGCAAGGCTCATCCTGCCAGGGACTGAGGTGCCTTTGCCGCTTTTTGCCTTTCAAAGTTCCCTGGAAAAAGATACAAGTCCGCGCCTTCAATCCAGCAACATCCAAAATGTCCAGCACGCTCTTACGTGTACAAATTACCTTGAGCATCTTCATAAAACCTAGGAGATGAAACAAAGATCCCTCACGGCAAATATCCACTGAACACAAGCTAGGGATGGACAGTATTGGCAAGAGTTTCTCATGTTTGTTTTGACACCATCCACAGAGAAGACTGCCCCTGCTTCAGCAAAAACCGACAGAGCTTCAGTGTTGCACCAGAGAGGCTCTTTACATTGTCAACCGGATCCACGAAATTGTCGCAGCTGTTTGGCTCCCAGGTCTTGAGCAGCTGTCGATAGCCCTTCCGTTCTTCCTTACTTCAAGAAAACAATAAACATATATAAAAGAAACAGTTTCTTCAGTTCTTCTCCCCTTATTTTTTCTTCTGTTCTTCTTATGTGTTTTCTATCTTTTGCGTCTGATTGTTTTATTGTTTTCTTGTTTTAATGTGTCTTTCTTATATCATCGTTCCTCTTTCCTCTTTTATATTGTTTGTTTTCTAATGGTTTTTACTTTGTTTCTCTTTATTCTTTCCTTTTTTCATTTGTTACTTTTTTGTGTCTTCTTTCTGCTTTGTTTTTCATCATCATCATCATCATCGTCATCATCATCGTCATCGTCATCGTCATCGTCATCGTCATCGTCATCGTCATCGTCATCATCATCATCATCATCATCATCATCATCTGCTTGTCTTGACTAACACCTCAAAGAACATCGCTTAAGACAAGTGTTTGTTTGGTTGCGCCTTGAGCACATCTCATGTCAACCTCGAGCCTCGAGCCTCTTGAATGCTTCACGTTGTTCCAAAGATTGGTAGACCCGAGGTCTTTTCAAACCAACAATTAATACATGCAAACTACCGATATTTGGCCCTGTACTCTCCAGTACTCTGCAGAGTTCTTCCAAGCTGCCTAACTTTCGCCGAGTTGCAAGGATTGCTTTTTCACTAAAGTCGGTAAAGTCTTGAAAATCCATGTAGTCAAATACAGTGACCTCTTGCACCAGTTTCTTGCACCTAAGTTTCTTGCACCTAGTAGCACGGACTCATGTCTAACAATACATATTCACCTTTTTGAACAAAGTCAAACTCACATCTGGTAGATTCAAGTCCTTGATGTGCTCCAATTCATAAGCAACTCAACCCATGACAAACAGTGATTTCTTTTGTGTTTTGAGTTTTGCTGAGGAACTTCTCTTCGGAAAGGGTGTGAAAGCCACATCGCATCATAAGCTCTGGAAGATCGTCGCACAAAACATGCAGACCGTCCTGCCAAGTCCAATCAAACCAAACCATTTTAAGTGGTGCTCAAACTGCGAACATGTTGAAAGATATTTGGAGTCATCGTTGGTGCATCACGGCGTTCTTTGTGCTCCAAAATACGCAAACGCCCCAAAATACGCAAACGCATTTTCAGTTACCATAGTCACTGTGACTTTATCACTTTTCAATGTCACTTAAAGTCAACGTGGAATCAAAGGTTGGGGGTGGGGGGGTGACGAATGCGTTCATTCTCTCTGAAGTATATGCCTTAGAAGACAGTGCCATGACCGATTACTTGTCATTGCAGTGGATGCGTGTGACGCCTGCATAACAAACAGGTCCGTTGGCAGGGCAGCATTTCGCCCCCAGGTCGACCACAGGTTGGCACTTGAAGGGTTCACCGCTCTGGCAAGAGTTGGCGAGTCCAACCTGGTGGCCCTATCCAACTTCTCAGCCTTGGCTGCCTTTTCGACTTGGTCCAAGTCTAGCTTAGCATTGGGCATGTTAACTACGCGCGCACCAAACACAAGACAAGCACCGGCAAGTCACGAGTACACAGCTCTGAGCCGATGCAGCGAGAATTGGCGCGCAGAATGGGCAACATAGGGTTGATGAGCAGGACAATGAGGGCAATGAAGCGGATAAGTGAAGGAATACGCAGAATGCTTATGATCAATACGCATGCGGGCGTTGTCCTTGCCAGGAAAACAAGCCGAACAATTACAACAAACATACGCAACAGCCCCTGGAGCGTGCGAAGGCACATGTTTGGTCAACCCGCTTTCCAGATCGGTCTCGATTCACGAAGATGATGAGACAACCCCATTTTAGTGGTAAACCGGCGACCGCACCCCGAAATAGGACATTGAAGTTGGCCAGAGGCGGGTTCGAGGGAGGGAGCCTACGCCAGTAAATATTACGTACCCGCACGCTAGCCTCAACCGGGTTGACAGGATCATCCCCACCAAAAAAGGCTGGTTGTCGCACTTGTTTTGCCTGCAGGCGGCGCCGAGGAGGTTTTACAGGTAGAGGAGACATCACAAGCGGTGAGTCTGCCAAACGGGCATATGCATAGCAAGGTCCTGAGCAATACAAAGAATCAATTTTAAATAATGCAAAATCCTGGACAGAGTTGGTAAACATGTTCCAGGAATCCTGACCACGCAGTTTTTCAATTACAAAGTTCGGATTGAGAGTGGCCCAGCTCGGTCCGCGCAATTGCTCTGCCATTCGGCCAACAACCTGCCAAACATTCTCAGAGTGGCAAGCCCAAACTTCTTGAGGATCCCCTTGCAGGCGCCAGTGCATGTTTGGCAGACGCAAGCTCAGCAGACCAACCCCTGGAAATCTCCGGGAGCAGAGCAATAGCGGGGGTATACCACACAGCAGGAGCACTGGTTCAAAGTTTCCAGTCCCGACCACCGTTAAGTTGGACCATAGGCAATCGCCAGGACACTCATTTTTTGTCCGTTAACTAACGCACCTCGCAGTCTTTTCCCACCTACTGGGCACTCTAGCAACACCGAGATTCGCAGGCAAATATGCAAATCAGGCCTGTTTAGGAAGGCAGTCATTGGACATCCGGACTGCATGACCCAACCAGCGCGCGCGATTCTGTTGAATAAGATCATCTATGGTAGGGACACCTAAACAAGCTAGCAGGCGATCGATAAGAATGTCATATAGCTGCTGCATCCACCTTGCTAAACGACTCAGCACTCGTAAGGAAGTAGCGTGGAACACCGTCCAAGTTTCAGTTTCACTACCAGATATGAGAGCGGACAGCACACATGCCCGGTAAACCTGGATCTTATTCACGTCGCTTCGCGACGGTAACCGCCCGCACCGGATGGAAGGGGACAATACATCCACCGAGTCCCGGAAGGAAGCCCGAGCTGCTTGTGCTCTTGGAGCCAAGGGAGTGAGTATGAAAGGAAGTGTCCGACATAGCGTCCATATTGTCGGCCCCAGAACGGCTCCCCCCAACAACATGGCTGAACGTAGCTTCCATATCGCCTGGAACGTCGCAAAGATAAGGTCCAACTGGAGCAGAGAGAAGCAGAGTCATCAGGGGAAGGGATGATGTGGTATTCGATGGTTCAAGGGCCTTTTCAAGTAATCGTGGCTGCTGAAGGGCCGCCACCACTGCTGCCGGAAGCATCACGATGGGACGGTTGACCCTGGCAATGTCGTTTCCTTTTCAAACAAGCTTGGGCTCAAAGACCGCAGCCATTTAGGGGCCGATGCCGCAGAGCCGGTCAAGGCATCTATAGGCGGGAGGTGTTTGCATCATGAAACGAACATGGCAGACGATGACATGGTGGAACACATGCAATGCAAACAGTATGGGATTGTTGATCCAGGTAGGGTTTGCTGTCCTTCTCAAACAAGCTTGGGCTCAAAGACTGCAGCCATTTTAGGACGGGTTTCATCAAGGCAGGAAATGGTCCATTTTTTGAAACGTAGGCAGAGTGCTGCAGAAGGGTCGCCACGACTGTCAGAAACGGGTTCTTGTGCCGCAGCCATTTGGGTGTGGGATGACGCTGTGATGCAAGAAGTTGTGTTTATTTCGAGATGCATGGATTGTTTCGGTTGAAGACGTGAAATATGGCACGAAAACGGGGGATGGCTGCGTCTTTGTGCCGCAGGCATGGAATGGGCCGAAGCAAGGCAGCTCAGGAGCGAAGACGTGTAGGGAAGATGTTTTGTTTGTGCTTGTTGCTGGCAGCAGCAGTCACGTTTCCGAAGCAGTCGATGTGGGCTTTGCAGAAGGTGAGAGGTGTAGAGGCAGAAGACCAGCGAGAGTGATGCAGCGAATGATGCAGTTGGGCTTCACAGCTGAGGTAGAGGGAAGGCAAGAGAAAAAGAAGCATTCCATGTAGGGCAACAGTATCATTCAAGTATCGGAGGGAGAGACAAAGACAACTACATACTTGAATTTTTCGAGGGAGTGCTGACGAAGGAACTTGTGCTCTTGGAGCCGAGTGATTTTGTATCAGCTGACGCAGGAACTTGTGCTCTTGGAGCCGAGTGATTGTGTTCGGGTAGCGCGAAGTGATGGCGACATTGGTGGCATACAATCACCGGGTGGGGAGTGTGCCTCTACAAGACCTGTTTCCTGGTTTTGCTTTTTCAGAGCTCCGGACTCTCTATGTGAGGCTGCGTGAGGGCCCAGTAGAGCGGCAAGATGTGGCTATGTCCGTGCGGGTCTGTCGGGTGGATCGTTTCATCGAAACGATTCGGGAACCACGGCTCGTGAGTGACGGCTACGTCGCTGCCGTGTGTTTGGGCGAAGTCGCACTTCCGGAAGACGGGCAGGAATGCGCTAGCCTGATTGGGCGGCATGACCTTCTGTTGGCGAAGATAAAGGAGGCGGGGCAGTTCGCTGCAGAGAATCGTGTGCCGGGGGTCAATCGGCAGCATGTGCGGAGGCTGGAGGCCGCTGCTAGGTTTCTGCGTGAGATGAGGAGTTTGGAGCCTGGTCTTTTGACATTGACAGAAAACCCAGTGTTTAGAGTGTCTATAGCAGAATTTTTGGGCCCGGCGGAGGGGCCGGCGGAAAGAACGAACTTGGCAACCTGGATTACCAGTGTGCCTCGGGTGCAGACCAGCTGGATTCCTATGGGCGGCGTGCGGGCTTCACCTCAAAGTATGGCGACACTCCTTCTGGGGCAGTTGCAGAAAAAGCTGCAGCAGACAATCCGGGAGTCGGAAGATGTGGGGGGCCCGTATCCAGCAGTCGTTCGGGATACGGTGAAGCCAAAACGCAGTGGTGTGGAGGTCACCCGCCTTTTGTTGATGAGCGAAGAGCGAAACCGAGAGTGGAAACTGAAGATGATTTGGGTTTGTGCAATGGACCAGGTGCGCGCCTGGATTGAGATGCCAGAGAGTGATTTGTACCAACGAGGCAGCGTGCACTTGGTGTCGAACGTGGGCAATTTTCGGCAAGACCAGGTTTCTTTGCAACCTGTGATGAACTTGGAGCGGGGGTCGCAGGTGGTGGTGGTGATCTTGGCAGACATCCACGAGTTCATCCACATGTACGAGGCGTTGGTGAGGTTGAGACCAATGCTGGAAGGAGATGTTGGTAGTTTAGCTGCAACGTCAAGTGAGGGTTTGGCAGGCTTGCGAGCCAATGCTTTCAATGCTTGGCTGGGTCTGAACCAGCCAGCGACCTTTGTCCTCAGCTCGGTCTGGGATCGTTATTTGGGGCCCCAGCGGGATGTATTTCTGCAAGGGGCTGGGGATCGTGGGCTTCTCCGCAGATCAATGTCGGGCGCTGTCCGAGATCCAGGGAGCAGTCACGGTGGTGTCCAGCTTTGCTGGTGGGGGCAAAACAACCTTGCTGGCTGCTGTCACCGTGCAGCTGACAAGCAGCCGAAATCAAGATCCTCCGCTGGTGGTGTTCAATGCTCCTGCCCTGAAAACGGCGCAAGGCTTCGCAGAGCGACTGGAGAAGATCGGAGTGAGGGTTCTGGTGCTTGGAGTGGAGAAGGAGGGAGAAGTAGATCTGTTTGAAGAGAAATGCGCGGCCATTGCCACGGAGGTGTTTGAGAGACACCAAGAATTCTATGATGCAGTTGATGAACTGTTGGAATTCCTGAACCTGGGGAAACCTGGGGAAACCTGAGCTCCTAGAACTGCAACCATGCAGCGTGAACGATCAGAGAAAGACAGTTTCCAACCTGGAGGCGTCTCTTCCTGCAGTACCTGCTGCGGATACTGCCAGTGCGGAGATCGGTGACACGGGCAAGGCATGGCAAGTCGACACCGGAAATTGCCTGCTCATGTCGGCATTGGCGACGGTTGTTTTCGTTGCTGCGCCCGTAGCTGCGTAGTTGCACTGGTAAGTGCTGTGCCACCGCTAAAAGTCCGGTATTTCCAGAAGGGTTCTAACCTGGAGGTGTCTCTTCCGGGAGTACCCGCGGCGGATACTTCCACCGCGGCCATCGACGACAGGAAGGTCTTCGGACCTATGAGCACGTGACCTTCCATGGACGGGACTA